CCCTTCCAACCCGACATCCTCCCTCTCCGACCCGATTTAGGCGTGTACACTTTGCTGGGCCTCACTTCATGGGGCCGTGGCTGCGCCCAGCCAGGAGCACCGGGTGTGTACGCCCGTGTTGTCTACTTCTTGCCTTGGATCCAAAGACAGATCAACTCTCACAGCGATTCCACGGCTCAGAAGACCCTGCCCAGACGGCCTTAGGCATACCCCTCCCACTTTTTACGTGACAATATTTAAGCCACTGACATTATTATCCTGAAGATTACTACTATCCACAATAATAGACTAGTCCTAGCCTTCATTGATGATAAAAACCTCGGCCACAAATCTATTTGCTCTGTTTTAACCATCGTATTCTTTGCCTTGGAACTTCCGGTTTACCGCCGAAATACCATTTTCCTAACATACCTGATTGTCCTGCAAAGCCAAGAAAGGTCAATAATCTTGATCTTTTCTTAGTTCCATCTGATGCTACTCTTTCAATTAGGAGTATGAACTGAGATTTCATAGGTTTGGTGAACTAGTATTTGCACGAACTGTAAGACAGGGTGAAAAACATTGGCCGAGACTTTGATATTCTTTGTCGTATTGGATGTTTATTTAGACTGACGAATTTTGTGGATAATATAAACTGCAGACGTTTTTTTTATACTTGTAACAATGTTACAAGTACTTAGCCACCACACTAAAATGTAAATGTTTTGGTTGCAGACTGTACTGTCCTTCCAATGAAAAAGTTGTACTTATAATATTATGTCGGAGATCAAGGTGACAAGGAGGAAAATATGATGTGATAGGGAGCTGAGGGGGGGACACATTTCAAAGGAACACAAAAGATACAGATGAAAAGAAAAGTCGAGAATATATCTTAATTTTTTCTACCCGTCACACATTGCATGCAGGAATCAGTATAACCATAGAAAAACACATTCATACAATACGAAAGAAAAATTAAGCATTTTTCTTTTGAAAAAGTATTGTTGCTAAATGTTCTTTGCTTTTGCCAAGATTTGATTTCATACTGTTGTTCTTAGAAAAAGACATTATGATTCTATTGTTTACCCTTTGAGTACGATAAGATCTTGCTTCTATATGATACAGTGTCCAAGGTGTGTTTCGTGTCTGCGTTTTTCCCAAATGCAGTAATCAAGATTAATCTAAAAAATGGAAACTACTCTAGCAATAAATGGGCGCAAGACTCACTAGTACATTAACAATTATTTGGCTTGAAATTTTTACCTTCTTGTCCACTTTGAGCCTTAATATTTTCTGAAAATATGTTCTCTATTTCTGGAATAACAGACGCAATACTTTTTTTTTACTCTGGAATATCATTTGAAAAGAAGCAGCACTTGTTGTTATTGTTTCTGTCGTTCCTGACTTTGGAGACAAATCAGTCATCCCAAAAACAAACATTTGGAGCACAGTTGAGATAACCATATGGGAGAAAATAACAATAGTGTTCCACAAAGAACAAGAAATATCAGTTCGTAAAGAAATACTCATTTCACTCTAAAAACAATGGCAACATGAGGACTTTCATCAAGAATGTGGACCATCTCGATAAGTAGATTCCCAGATTGTCTGCCCCCGAGCATACCCCAGCAGATCCTGTGCAAGTCATGGAATTACCCTCTGTTATCATATCGTCTCTGATCATTGGTAGGATATCCTGGCATGATTTTTTCCCTAATTGTTCTTCTAGAGAAAGTCTTTGAAACTCTTCATATGGTTGTGCCTGCTCTTCAAAGATGAGGCACAAAATCACATTTCTCAGCTCTGGAATGTCTGTGACTTTTTCTTTCAAGCAATCGACAACAGGTTCCAAAAACGGGAATGTTTCTGTCGAGTTGTATGGGACAGTAGGAAACTCGGGAGCAAACATGCCGTAGTAGGCCACATAGTTTAGATTCGTTATTTTCATTCTCATCGCAGAGCCTAAACCAACTTTGGCGAGACTGTCAAAGATGTGGAGGTACGATGAACTACGCCGTGTCGTCGCCACCTCACCGACTGACGTCACACTCGGAATGAACAAACCGACGAGCAGCTTTATGGGCTCGGAGCACTGGCCAAGGTCGTCTATGTAGTAACCGGCTACACACTTGATCTGGGACGAAATAACGCTCCCCTTGTCGTGTTCGTAATCCAACTTCATTACTTCCCATGTCAAACTTGACGAATCAAGAATCTGGACTAAACCTCCGCCATTCCACAGGTCGATGAGAGATCCGAACCCATGATTGCCTCTGAATTTATCGGTACCATAACTTTCGTAAAGCATGTAGTGACAAATGGTTGTGACTTCGGTGTATGTGCCGTTTTTCCTCTGACTATTCAATGAAGAACAGAACTCATTTAAAGCAGGACTAGGCAGGCCAGAAGAGACATCGGAACATTCGTAAGCAACAAAACTTCCGCACGGTCTTTTAGGGACATCAAGGGGAAGATCATCGTGAATGTTACTCAAGAAATCATCAGAGCCAGTGCCATTGATGATGTAGGATAAATAATTATTTTCTAGCTCTGCAATTTTGCCGGCGTGCTTTTTGCCCCAAACTCTTAGATCCATGTACGAGAGGTTAGAAGAATTAACGTTACACTTGAGAACGCTGATGTTCTTGTAGTTGATGCCGGTGGTCATATCGGTGACGACGAGGCGGTCAGAGATGTTTTGCCATGTGGGGCTTTCTTCGAGCGCTATTTGGATTTAAAAAAGAGGAAAATAGAAGTATATTTTCTAAAAGTAAAGGATTTCGTTTTACAAGGACATGATAACAAAATCACAAAACAACAAATAATTCCATACATTATAACGCCACCATTGGCTTCTTGCCACTGTGCAGTGACACTATAGCTCGTTCACTTTCGTCTGACAGCGGTTAAAACGGGATAGAAATAAACAGCTCTGTTTAATCTTTCTGTGTCTTTGCAAGCGGGTCTAAAAGTTCACCGACCGACAGAATCTAAAAGATTATTCATAAAAGTCACTGCAAACTAAGGTTCCGACACGTTTTCTGTGATGTAAGCCTAGAGCAGGTAAAAAAATAATAGGGGATTTTGGCTATAGTCCGGACAACACCGAATGGACAACTTGCCGACCTCATTAAACCGAATCTAAGTGGTGAATCTCTCTGATTTTTTGTATGCGTCTCTGATTCCTAAAAGACGTAACAAATATCTCGATTTTCGTGAACATTGCGACAAAAATAAAGAAGTGCTGTCTATATAATCATTAGTAATTAATTACTCATTAAACTCAACACCGCACACTTTTTATAGAAAGCACGGTACTATTCTAAAAGGCTGTAGTTATTCGCACAGGGTGTGTGAATACTTTGGAATTGTATTCGCACAGGTACTATGAAATTTTGTTCGCCCAGGGTGTGTGAATACTGTGTGAATACTATGATATTTTATTCGCACAGGCTGTGTGAATACTACGAAATTATATTCGCACATGAATGTGTGAATATTGGGCCTAGCCTAGATCTAATTTTAGCATTTCCTCATTTTTTCTCCCTCATCGCGTAGGGACAAAGATCATGTAGATGAGAGAGAGAGAGAGAGAGAGAGAGAGAGAGAGAG